GATACCACAGCGTCCTTAAAGTCTACATATATCGCATCCAAATCCGTCGACAAATCGAGTATTCGATTTATGCTGTTAAAAGATTTGATTTCAGAAACATCTTGGCTCTCCAATGCATAAGTAGCAAAGGCCTCTACATTAACTTTAATGGCATTATGGGCCTTCAGAACAACTTTTAACAATTTCAATACTCTTAATTTTATCGCATCAAAAAATGTTACATAATCTATATGTTTTTCATCACATTTAAGCCTGTAAGTTGCGATTCTGCACTTAAACGCGCTCTTAATTAAATATATACCATCAGCATGAATTGCACAGGCTTTTTCTTTATGCCCAAGACTCCTCATATGCGACGTCATCTGATTGGTAGGGACATCTACATTACATGATTCACATCTTCTATTATGGGCTTTTGAGTCTACGATGCGATGCGTATGAACTTGTGGAACTCGCATTACCCGGGCTTTTTTTTCAGGTGGAACATCATTACTGGGAGTAGTAGATCTCTTCGTACCTCCGGATGATTCGCCGATGCGGTTAGATATCAGCTTGCAACTTTTATTTTGATGTCGACGTAAATTATCTACCCTTGTATATGTTAAACCACAATTGCACTTATACATGTTTATTATTTTTATGATTATTTCGATATTAGATGATAGAACTCCCGATAGGCTTAAAGCTAACGATATTTGTACGGATTTGGATGCGGGTCCTACTATATATATCCTCTAGAAAATTCCACCACCTCTTCTTAGCTCCTCCCTCGATATTTCAGTTGGGTGCGTCTATCTCCGGCGCAGCTACCCCTTCTTAGTCCCTTACCACAATATTTCGGTTAAGCACGACCGTCTCTAACGCAGGCTAAGCACTCTAGGCACGACGGCCGAGAGTTAAGGACGTGCTGCCAACAGTAATCACTAGGAGACGCTTAGATAACATTCACTACATTGCATACAGTAATTACTACCTAAGGTGTACTTACACTTTAATATGTATGGAGTAATGAGATGTATACCCTGTGGGTAATTGGGAGGTACTTATTATGCAATTACAATCATTACAGTATGGCGTGTAGATGGTAATTGGGTGGTACTTACTGTGCAATTGCACTTATTACAGTACATGCTGTAATTGGGAGGTACTTTCTAATTGCGCGTCTATCTCTGGCGCAGGCTACCCCTTCTTAGTCCCTTACTTCGATATTTCGGTTAAGCACGACCGTCTCTAACGCAAGCTATGCACTCTAGGCACGCCGGCTGAGAGTTAAGGACGTGCTACCAACATTAATCACTAGGAGGCACTTAGATAACATTCATTACACTACATTGCATACAGTAATTACTACCTAAGGTGTACTTACACTTTAATATGTATGAAGTAATGAGATGTATACCCTGTGGGTAATTGGGAGGTACTTATTATGCAAATACAATCATTACAGTATGGCGTGTACATGGTAATTGGGAGGTACTTACTGTGCAATTGCACTTATTACAGTACATGATGTAATTGGGTGGTACTTACTGTGCAATTGCACTTATTACAGTACATGATGTAATTGGGAGGTACTTGCTAATTGCGCGAAGGGTGGGGGGTACTTAGGATAATTACTAATTACCCAATTACCTCTCTCTGTACCTCTTTCTCATTTCCAGAACCGGCCAATTACATCTACTGTACTGTGAATTAAAAAATCTCTAACCCAAAGATCCTTCTTTTACTTTGGTCCCAAGTTCTACAATCTAATCCCCATACATCTCAAACAAAAAAGTAAACTATCTATATTCAAACAAAATATTAAAAAATATATAATAGATAACCAAATCACATTTACTGCTATAATGTTGTAAGCTATACCTGATTTAAAATTGAAATTTGTTGTTAACTATTTGTATTAAATATTGGAATAACTCCTGGATAACCCTCGTCTGCTTCGCTCTGCATATGTACTCAATCTAAAAAAAAAATTTTGTATCCTACTTATTTTTATACCTACTTAGGCACTAAAATATAAAATGTACGTTTTATTTCAAATCTTTTAGAATCAGCACAAGCAACACAGGCAGCTTTTGCTTAGGCTTGTTGCTAATTCTAGATTTTTTGTAATCTATATTAATCTTAAAATATTATTATTATTATTTGTACTTTATTACTATTTGAATTTGAATAAATTGAAATTGAAATTTGAATTAGTTGTGTTTATTTTTTATTACTGAATTATTTTACTGTTAATAAAGGACGAGTTTCCAACAAGAGTACATGATTTAGGTATATAAAAAAAATTAAATTATAGTCTAAATAAGTTTTTCGAAAGTGTCAAAAATGTTTACCGAATTCAGTAAAATGATACTGAAAAATAAAAATATTATAGCCATTAATAATTTTTGAATTTTCAACTTTAACACTCTGCTTTTCCAAAACAGGTAATTTTTTTTCTGTAAGAATATTTCGTTTAATCGTTTTATTTTTAATCAGAGAATCTTCAGTTGTACTATGTCCCATTCTTAATGATATATATTATGATAAATTAGTTAACCAATAATTATTGTTTTAAAATTAGAATTATTTATAACTGTTTTGAAATTAATAAAATAGAAAATATGCTTTTGTTTTTCTTTTCCTTTACAGGTATTATCCGAATTAATTTAAAATAAATTTTATTATATTAATAATAGCAATAATAATACATTTATTAAGTGTTTAGAGAAATTGTATTTTTAATTCAAATACATACATACATAAGTAGGGACCTACCTAAGTACTTAGCATTAAAGTAATCTTTAATTTGGTGCCTAGTAATGTAATAAAAAAAAACCTTAAGATGGTTGGTAAATACTATAAATGAATTCTTAATATTGAAGTAAACAGAATGGGTTATATAAGGATTATTTTTGTTGGTATTTCCAATAATCCTGTTGGTTAGGTTGGGAAAATATAAGTAATTTTTATGTATAATTATTCTTGGTATAGGTAGATTGAAGTGATTATTCTCAGGTGGTTCTTTACTGTTTTATTTAAGTCCAAGCTAAAAATTTGTTTCTTTGAATAATATAACTTAAACTAATTTAAAATGATTTTTGTAATTTCTTTATTATATTTAATATTATTTTTACTTTTTCTAACAATAATCAATTTAAGATATCTACTTTGATTGAGCCAAAAGTTTTTAATATTATATAAATATACTGTGTGTCGAAAAAAATATATTAAATTTGGCTAAACAGTAACCTCTATTTCTAAAAACCGTAGGACAATGTTACTTGAAAAATGTATTTAGAATTTACCATCAAATCCCAGGCCCGGACACAATTTTTTTTTTTTTTTAGCAATACGGGAGAAGCGGAAGTGACTTTTTACAAATGAAATTAATTTCAACAAATTTATTTGAGACCAAGTAAAGGATTATTCATTATTAAAGGCACCTTTTATATGCACTATTGCATATTCAAAAAAAAGCTTTAAATAAAAGTTTGTGGATATGACTGACTTTTTTTTTAAATATATACCCTAAAAAACACATTCGTATTCAGATTTCACGGAATACAACACAAATAAACTTTTTTAAATGGGATAATCTCTATATGTTATTACATTTCTGGGACATATTTTTTTTCTATAATTTCAAAAATGTATAATATTATTGACAACCCTATCTTATACCGACTGTTCTCGAGTAATTTAACGTTGATAATGTAAATATAAAAAAAGTAAAGTGAAAACAAAAACTATGAAAATCACAACTATTATGTTTGATAATAAAATACTCCAAATAGGTATCTAGTTTACAGTGAAGAAGAAAATGTGTAAATATTTATCCAAACTATAAGATATTCGACGTTTAATTAATCAGGAAAGAAACAAAGTTAGCAGAGAACCTCGGTTTTTTTTTCTAGAAACATCTACTTATGTCACATGTTTGAGCTATTTTTAGGCTCTTAAAATATTATAAAAATAGTGTTTTTTTAAAAATACAGCTTGCTTTGTTGAAACAGAGGTGTTTTGTTGGATATTTTCGAAGCTAGCAAAGCACCCTGTATTTTATAAAAATAATATTTTAAGAGCCTAAAAATACTGTCTCGTTGTTTTTGGAGAAAAACTGAGGTGCTCCACTGACTTCGTTCGAAGCTAGCAGAGCACCTTGATTTTTGCAAAAAAACAGTAGCATAAAAATAGCTTTAAAATAGCCTAAAAATATGGCATATGTTTTAACTCAAAATTGCCTAGGTGCTCTGCTGCCTTCTTTGACATCATATTTATAGAAAAAAAAATAAGTTTATTCTTTTCAACATTTTCTTGTATCAACCATTTGTATTAAAGTCATAGTCGGTAATAGACACATAACGTGTGTCCGAGCGAGTGTCTTTTTATACAACTGTTGCAGAAACTTTGGCATCGGTGCGGTATCTACCTGTCTTTTATTTCATCAATCTATCAATGATGAACTAACAGCGCTGTCTTTTTATCCAACGTTGATGCAATCGATGCAACACCATTCCATCATTTCAATGTATGGTTTTTTCGATTAGATGTGTCAACTGACCAGTGGCGAAGCGTCCATGTAACCACTGTTACCATTGGTAACAGTTAAAAATCTTGAAAATAGTTTATGACTAGGTACTGTAAAATAATTTTATTTTTTTTTTTACCAACAGCAATATCATAGTAATTCAGTAAATAGTAGATTAGCTTCACGAAAATAATACGCTCTATACTGTCCGGGTTATGCGTTTGTAGTTTCTAACTCAATGAATCAGCCTTCGCCTCGACCTCGACTGCATGATGTTACCACTTTCGTTTCTGGATACGCATACTCGTCCGTCGGCTACTGTCGGAGCCGGCTCGTATCTGGACGCGTACTTGCATTCTACAGCGCGAAAGCGTGGGCCGCCGCGATTATTATGTACGCTTGTTACCAGTTTTTGTTTTGGTTACTCAGTATTTAAAGGGGTGGTCTGTGCTCAGTAGTACTCACTCGTTAGTAGTTGCTTTTAAACATGGATGAGTGCCGCTGTGTAATCGATCAACTACTTGAAAAGCCATTCTCCTTGTATCATTTTGCAGAAAAAAAGGAGATCATTGAAAATGGAAGACCAACACCTATTTTAAATGATTTTAAAAAAGAATCAAAAAAAGTAGTTCGATATTTTAAATTTAGTTGGTATAGTGAAAATTCTTGGTTATGTGGTTGCATGAAAAATAGACTGTATTGTTGGCCGTGTCTTTTGTTTTCTACAGAAAAAAATGGGTGGACTAGCAGCGGAGTCAACGATTTAAATAGTTTTAGAGCTCTAAAGAGGAGACATGAAATTTCTCCGTTACATGTGAGATGTGTAGCCAATTTGATCCAGTTTGGCAAAACAAGAATAGAAAGTTGTCTTAACCAAGCTTTTAAGGCAAATATTGCTAAATATAATGAAATTGTTAAAAACAATAGATATATCGTTAGCACACTTATAGATGCCGTATGTTATTTGGCCAAACAAGAATTACCGTTTCGGGGTCATTTTGAAGGGGATGACTCTGACAATAGGGGCAATTACAGGGAATTGTTAACATTAATTGCCAAAAAAGATCAAAAATTTTGCCAACATCTAGAAACGTCAACTGTTTTTTCCGGAGTTTCAAGTGACATACAAAACGATATTATTGAAGCCATATCTACATTTGTGATGGATGAAATTAAATCAGAAATTGCCGGAGCAAGTTTTGTAGCTGTTATATTGGATGAAAGCACCGATGTTTCAAACCAATCGCAACTTTCGGTCGTATTTAGATATGTTTGCCCCGACGGTGATGTTTGTGAAAGATTTTTGAAATTTGTCAATGTTAGTGATGAGCGTTCAGCGGGACCGTTATCGGAAATTTTGTTCAGTGTGTTAAATGAGTTTAAGTGCGGAAATAAACTAATTGCGCAGACTTACGATGGTGCGGCAGTAATGAGCGGGCAACACAACGGCCTACAAAAACTGGTTAGAGATAAATATCAAGATGCAATTTTTGTTCATTGTTATGCCCATAGACTCAATTTGGTTTTACAGCAATCAGTGGAACATATTAGAGAGTGCAAAATTTTTTTTCAAACTTTATCAGGGCTTGCTGCATTTTTTTCAAAATCGTCCAAAAGGGCCGCTGCTTTGGATAAATTAGTACAAAAACGTTTACCCAAAGTAGCATCAACCAGGTGGATTTATACTGGTAGACTCGTTGAGGTTGTTTCTTGTATTCGTTCAGAGCTTCTCGAACTATTTAAAGAGATGCATACTGACACAGCAACATGGGATGGAGAGACACGAATTTGTTCGAAAGGCTTTTACATTACATTGCAAGAATTTGATTTTAATTTCTTTTTAAACTTATTTGAGATTATTCTACCAAAATCAGAAATTTTGTTTGATATTTTACAGAAGACAATGTATGACATTGGATTTTGCACGAGAAAAGTTAATGAATTTCTAGAATTTTTGCAATTAGAGCGGAAAAATTTTGAAAGTCTGTGGTTAAAACAAGAGAAATTTGTAAATGACGATGTATCCAAACCCAATAAGAGGCAACGAATTACAAATATTAACAATGATAAAGAGACGTCTTATCGGCGACTTTTTTTTGAAATTTTTGACACCATGATTATTCAACTTAAAAACAGATTTTCTGACTTAAAGCATCTAGAATGTCTGGCACTATATGATTTTGACAATTTCAAAAATTATGCAAAAAAATTTCCAGATAGCGCCTTTCATCAACTTTTAAAGCTATATGGACAAAAATTTGACACGGTAAAGTTAAAAACAGAATTGACAGTTCTTTATAATGATCCAGATTATGTTCAAAAAAATTTGCAAGCATTTTATCAATATTTAAAATCTTCAGAGCTTGATAGTGCATTTCCGGAAGCTTTTAAATTGGCAAATTTATTTTTAACAATTCCAGCTACAAGCGCCTCTGTTGAAAGAAGTTTTTCAGCAATGAAGCGGATTAAGACATGCCAAAGAAATACTCAATTGCAAGATCGAATGTCATCACTTTCTTTAATTTCCATTGAGAAACGCTTTTTAAATGGATTAATGGCAAAACCCTCTTTCTACGATTCTGTTATTAACATTTTTGCAAATAAAGAAAATCGCCGAATCGACTTAAAATATAAACAATAGTTTTCAAAATATGTTTTTCCCGTTTGTATTATTTTTGTAGTAGAATAGTATGTTTGGTTTTTTTTTTATTGTTTGTTTGTTGTTCTATATATTATTATATATATATTGTTTGGGAGTAGTCATTTGTTTTATTTTATCCCACACGCTTGGATTAGTCATAGCATAAGACGATGAGCTATATAAAGTGCCCCAATTCAGCAATTTTTACTTTAAATAATTTAAAAAAGTAAATAAAATACTTAAAATAAGCAAAAACTTATATATGGTAGGTTCAAAATAAACTATTTAAATAAGATTTTTCACATCTGGTTTTGGTAACACTTTAGAAAAAGTCACGCGTCGCCACTGCAACTGACAGCTATGGATTGCGGGAATTAATCAGAATTAAGGAGTTAATTAATTATTTAATTGTTTTTTGTGGGAAAACCGAAAAAATTTGATTTTAAAAATATATGCATTCAAATTAAAGTAAATAGGTATATTCAAATAAAATTATAAACACAAATTTTAATCTAAAATGTCAACTGTTATTTATTTCAACGGTCAACCATAAATAAATCGAATCCAACAAAAGGCGTTCAAGGCCACATCGGCGAAAAAACAATTCCAACAAACCGGTGAAAAAAAAGACACACGTATAGTTGATTGATATTAGATTCGGAAGCATGCATAATACCATGGTATGACGCTGACAGTGATTCGTATTCGTGATACGAAAAAATGGATTCGAATCACTTGATTCGAATCCTTTTTTTTTTTTTTTTTTCAAAAAGGATTCGGACAAAGGATCCCTGATTCGAATAATTTTTTTGAGGATTCGTCCCAGCTCTGGCTGGTAATCAGATTGTTTTAGTTTTATTAAAATCTCAATTTATTTTTAATATTTATCTTGTGGAATGCTATTATTTATTGATTCTCTATAAGAAAATATATAATGACTATTAATTTGACAGAATTGTCGCTTATAAAGTTCTAACATCTGACGTAGAGGGCGCAATACTTCAAATGAAATGTCATTTGATAATTTCAATTCTAGAAAACAATTTGCGTGAATTATTTTTAGTTATCTATTTGTCACATTGTTAAATGTTTTGAATATTAAATAAGCTTTCTTTTCGTCCTTATAATATAAACTACTATTCCATATAAATTTTGTAAAAAACTCGAATAAAAAAAAACAATCATCTGGATTGTTAGCTTCAAATATGTCAGCATTTCCATTGTGTCTTACAATTATACAATTCCAAAGCAAATGCTTATTTTTCAATTGTGTATAAAAGTCATTAAAATGAACAATTTAAAAAAAAATTTGAAGAAAAAAATCAAAATAATTTAGGTCTGGTATCCTCGATGGCCACACAAGTTACATCATTTTTTTAATTGGCATTTTCGGTTCCTATCTCTAATGGAACCTGCAGATGCGTAAAATGCACTTCTTTACTGGGATGGTAGTTGAGTGAGATTAAGAAATCATCAAGTAACGCCATCAAAGCTCGCTTGTAGTACCCAGTATAAAAACTAGGTGGAATAAAAGGCAGGTACGCAATTTTTAAAAAAGAAAAACAGTTTAAAAAGAAGTGTCGACTTTGGAATCACTTTGTATATCTGCTCTCGTGTTCTCTGAGATTTCTTTTTATTTATTAATGTAAGAAAATTACTTGAAAGTCCCTAGTGTAGGGACAAAAAAAATTGCATACACTGTAACCTGACTTTTTGGAGCAATGAATAAAATTGATTTAAAAATTACTAACCTGTGTTCTAAAAGCATTCGGAATATTTGATGGTGATCCACCATATTCATCCATTGGGGCCTGCAAAAAAAATAATCACTAATCAGCCATAATTTAAAAAAGTAAGGATACAAAATAAATCACAGAACTCATTTCTCTTCATTACTCTATTGTTAAAAAGTAAAAATAATTACGTAATAAAAAAAAGTTAAATGGAGTAGAAACGTCTACATTTCTGCCGTACTTTCCAAAATAAAAAAAAATAATTTTTCAGTTAATTTTTTAGATAGCGTTCAGAAAGTTTCCTAGTTTTATCTCTAGTATAGTTTTCATTATTTGCCATTTCTTATTGAAGTTCTTTTTCTTAGAACAATTTAAGCCTATACCATTTTCCACAATCCAATCAAGATTTAATCCCTTTTCAAATGGATTCCATTTAATCGGGACAATTCGAACGTTGGCCTAATTTAGCGTGGTTAAATACAACCGATTTTTAATTAACGTTTGCACTTATTACAGCTTCAATTTGGTACGTTTAGGTTTAGAATATTTATTACGAGCAGCTATATAGGTTGTTTTCATTTTCTTGTCAAAACTGTTATTTTTCAAGAACGTGAATTGTTTAGCTTTTCATATTATACAATTCCATAGATAAAGACACCGCGTATGCATCCACCTTCCCACTCTTTTCACCAGTCACAGTTTATAGCTAAAGAATCGGTTCGCTCACTCTGCTTCTGCACTTTTGATGCCAATGTTCCAATTTATACATTGCGCAACTCGGATTTGTATCCCTGGCGCATATAGAATCAGATCATAATAGCCCAAGAGACCACTGCAAATTTTTACCGTCATCTGACAACAAAATTAAATTTACCCCAAAAGCATGTAAAAACATTGTACTTTACCAAATGGCACCTGTGCCAATCCCAATCCTGAGCAAAGCCGTTAAAAAAATAATTTTATATTAAATAAATCACGTAAGGCATGACAGCGCTGATTTTGTTTGTCCTTAAAGTTTTCCAGAAAAAAAAAAACATTCAAACATATTTTGATATATATCGAAATTATAAAAATCAATATTAAGAAATATACAGGGTTGTATTAAGTAATTTCAATAGAAATTATAAAAATCAATATTAAGAAATATACAGGATTGTATTAAGTAATTTCAATAGAAATTATAAAAATCAATATTAAGAAATATACAGGGTTGTATTAAGTCATTTCAATAGAAATTATGAAAATAATTATTATAGAATTATACAGGGATGTGCAATCTTGGATAAATTGTACAAACCAAGATGGTAAAATTTAATAGTAAGTTAACAAACTGGTGAATATACTGTTCGTTAGCTCAAGGGAGACACCTATATGCTAAGCCACCCATCCTACAAGGTTTGAAACAAAGTAAACGTAAAATCAACATAGGAAAGTAACCAACTGGCGAATTGGCGCTGTTCGTTACTTCCGTTGGTCATTACCTCTATATTCGTCGAAATATTTACCTAAGAGGGTGCAACCTGTGTATATCTAGAAAAGAATCAAATCAACACAGTAGTTAACCAACTGGCGACTTGGCGCTGTTCATTAACTCCGTTGGTCATCAACCTAAATAAGAACATAAACATCAACACAATAGTTAACCAACTGGCGAATTGGCGCTGTTCGTTAACTCTGTTGGTCACAATCTAAATAGAACATAAACATCAACACAGTAGTTAACCAACTGGCGAATTGGCGCTGTTTCTTAACTCCGTTGGTCATCAACCTAAATAAAATATGTCTTGATAGCAAATGAACATGCTCTGCGTTTGAACGGAACTCAAGTGAGATCTCATTAAATAGTACCAATTGTAATATACTTTGCTAATTACAGCATCACATTTAAAGTATGAAAAATAAAAGAGTTAAAGTTTAAATATGAATTTGTATGTTTTATTTATCAATTTGCACCAAACTTTACATCGAATCCTGGTTTACCTTAATTAACATTATAACAACGTGGGTATATAAATTATCAATTAACTAGACGATCACTTTTACTTCTAGAGGAAAAAGGCCAAATACAGTAAGTATAAACTAAAATAAAATAAACTTGTGAGGTAAAAATAACATTTCAGAGAGTAAAACAACGAACCTAAAAGGGAGTACTGGAGGTGGGCCGTTACAGTACTTGCAAATCTAATTTTTTTATTGTAAACTATCCTAACTTCCCCTGTTAAAAATTGTGGGATTCTGGGACGCGTCAGTTTTTATTTTAATCGAGTCATTTTATTACATAACAAATCTGCCCCTCCTATCAAATCTGTCCTTCATAGCAAATATTTTTAAAAATAAAGAGGGGTCGTGTGGCACTTTGTTGTAAAGGGCTTGAAAAGCGTAATTTAAAAATATATCACACTTAAGTTCTATATGCGCAGTGTATCTATTAGACCTGTCAACATTTCTCGTGATATGAAATTCTTAGTAATAAATTACTCTTAACAAAAAAAAAAAAAACTAATTTGAAAATGTGGTTAATATACTCCATGTGAGTCAAATTAAACAAAAACTACGTGTTATTTAGAATGAATAATATAATAAATAACACTCCCGATTTTTGTGTACAACTAATAATTGATTGCCTTAGGATATTTCGTGATTGGCCGATTAGGTATAATTAAATATGGTTTATATGAAACGATTAATGTTATATAGTATCTGGTTTAAAAGTTAAAAGTAAATTATTACAGAATAGAGATCATTTTCTTTTAGTTTATTATAGTGCGATAAATTTATATAAACTATATAAATGACATCCAAAAAGTATACATTGATGAAAAAGGATTGTAAATTATAAAAGAACTATTCCATAATACATTATTTTTTGTTCTCTAAAAACGGGCTGCTTCGTCTATTCTGCCTCTTGGAGATTACATTTTAAACCCCATAACATTTTAACGCTAACTTTCTGATGATTTAGCTTTCATTATACCTAAATCTATCTTGGTCAAAGAATCAGTAATTTAATTCGTTACCATTTCTCTCAAAAACTTGAACATCCTTAGTAATACCAGGAAACATGTAGATGGGCCCTACTTAATAGATGAGAATGTCTTTTCAGTCAACCATTATCTTGGTGGTGCTTTGATTTCTTCGTTGAATCTATCTAATAACGAAGTAAAATATCCATTTTTGTTGTTTTTCCGTGTAATCAATAAAAATTATTCATCGGGAATCCCAAAAGACGGTAGCCATCATTTTTCCAGCAGAGGAAACGTCTTGGCCCTCTTCGGAGTAAGCTCATCATGTTTGGTCCACCGCTCTAACTGATCTCCGGAGCTTAGTGATCCACGTTTCATATACAGCTGTAAAATGCAAAAATATTTTTCATTGTGCTTGAAGTTAAGACATTGCTGAGAAATGTTCATTCGAGCTCAATTTTGGCCAATTGCAAAGAGACGCTGCACCCGCCTAGCACCAAGCTTCCGCAGGTCCAAAACTTGACTAGACGATCATTCATCAAGATATCATTAATTTTTTCAATCGATTTTTTAACGGTAGTTGCTTTTGTTCCGACAGAATATGGTGCTTGTTCTACCTCATTCAGCAACCAAGTTTGCAACTGTTGCTTACGAAGGACAAGACTCATAATGAACTTCGTCTAACTCCGTTTTTATTTGTTTAGCATTTAACCCGTAATTGGTATGGCGGGGTCCTGCGGACTCCAGCAGTTTTCTTTTTGTGCGTATTTCAAAGAATTTTTGCCAGGTGGCGCCGTCCGTCTCAGTACCTTTCAGCCGATGTGTTTTGAGTGGGGGAATGTATTGTTGCCCTCTTTATCTGTTGTTTGGGGACGGTGAACCCCCCACCATACCAATAGTGCTATATTTTTTTCTTACCCAGCATCTTGTTTCAAACGTTATAATGGCAAGTTCAAATCAAAAAAGCATGCGACAGGACGCGAGATATTCAGGTGCACCATGTCGCAGAAGCGCTTCAGTGTTTTGCTCACCGCTTTGAGGTTTGACGATAAGGACACCAGGGAGGAAAGGAAAAAAAACCGATAGTACGGCTGCTATTTCTTATATTTTTCAAGAATTCATGAGTAACTGCAAGAAAAACTATTCGATTGGTGAATATGCCTGTATTGATGAGATGCTTGTCGGATTTCGCGGCAGATGCAAGTTTCGAATGTATATGCCCAACAAACCGCAGAAATATGGAATCAAAATTATCGGCCTGAACGACGCAAGAACACATTACCTTCTCGATGCGTATATATATTCAGGAAAGGACAGTGATAGCGATACATTGTCAGAAGAAGAGAAGAAGCTCGGCAAGCCAACGCAATCCGTTTTTCGCTTAGTAAAATTCATTGAAGGTTCTAATAGAAACGTTACAGCCGATAACTGGTTTTCGTCAATGGAGTTGGTGAATGAGCTCATGAAGATAAACCTGACCTACGTAGGCACACTCAAGAAAAACAAAAAAGAGATATCCAAAGAGTTTTTGCCGTCGAGAACTCGACCTGAATATTCTTCGCTCTAACATCGTATGTCCCCAAGATCGGAAATATTGTTATCCTGATATCCTCGATACACCATACGCCATTGTGAGTGAAGATGACCAGAAGAAGCCGAAAATAATTTAATTTCACAATTGCACCAAAGGCGGAATCGACGCGTTGGATGAAAAATGTACTGTCTACAGGTATAACAGGCGTTCCAAGCGATGGCCCCTCACAGTCTTTTATGACATTCTAAATATTTCTTTGGTGAATGTCTTTGTTATTTTCTCTGCTAAATGAGATAATCCCGAAATTTTAAGATGTCAGTTCATAAAAAACTTGGCAAGGCCACTTGTTGTTCCGCATATGGAAAGAAGAGCTGAGAATAAACATCTACCCAGGCTTCTGAAACAGAAGGGGAAACATATCAACTACAGAAGCGAGTAAGGTGTGCCAAGTGTCCACATAAGCAAGACAAGAAAACCAATGTTACAGGCGCTGTTTGTCACCTACCAATTTGTGGAAGTTGCGCTCGAAGTGTCTGCGGTGATTGCTTAGAAAATCGCTTGTAGTTTTTGGCTTCCGATTT